ACTAAATCTTACTTTTTAAGTATACTATATTTTAAATAAAATATATAAATAATACTATACTATATAAGATAATCAAGTAATATTATAAATAATTAATATACTAGTTTTTAATTATTTTTGTTTTTTATCTTATATAGTTGTATTTTATACAAAATATAATATAAATATAATATAATACAAATACAAATACATGTATTATCTTTCCTATATAATATGATACAAATACATGTATTATATTTAAATTATATTGTATTATATTTATATTATATTTTTATATTGTATTGTATTTTAATTTTTTTTAAACTCTCTGCTAATAACTAAAGGTTAAAGGCTAAGCTAGGCTATTATAATATACAAAAAGGACCTATTATAAATTAGCTAAGTTAATAATAATAAAAAAAGAAGATATATATAAAAGGAGAAATAATAAGACACTAAGAGAAAAAGGACTTATTAATTAATTAATATATAAGAAAAGTAAAGAAGAGAAAGTAGTAAGGTTACTATACTAGTAAGGTTTTATATATTATTTATTATTATTAAGAAAGCATAAGAAAAAAGAGAGAAAAAAAGAAGAAAAAAGGTAAAAGGTAGAAGGTATCTATATAAGAGAAGTTAAGACTACTAATTATATAAAATAAAAAAAGACATATAAATATAAAGTAAAGAAAGAAGTAAAAGTAAAATAAAAACTTATTATATAAGTAAGTAAGTATTTAAAAATAACTAAATAAGAAAGTATATATAAAAGAATAAATTTAATTAGCTAGTAAGTATTACCTTATATTTACTCTTAGAAAAGATATATTTAAAGTTTATTTTTATTTAAATAACTTTATATATAATAGTAGGCTATTAAAAGTAAAGTTATTATAAGAACTAATTAAGACTATCTAATTAGGTAATATAAAGGTATATATAATTATAAAAGAAGAAAAGTAAGTATTAAAATATTAATACTAATAATTATATAACACCTAGTTAGTTAACTATAAATAGTTATAATTTAAGCTTAAAGAGTATAGACTAGTTATTTAGCCTTAAGTTATATTAAGAGGGGATTATACCTTTTAGTTAGCTAAAATAACTTAAGTTATACTTAAGTAGTATATAACTACTTTATATAATAATAGTAAAGTAGACCTATTTAGTTACTTAATAAGAAGTTAATTTATCTTTATGTTTTACTAAGTATATATATGTATAAAGCCTATTTAATAATTAGAGATTTAAAAGTGTATTTCATACAGAATTTATATTTGTTTTTAAAATAGAAGGCTTTTTAGACTAAGTTATAAATATTAAATTATATAATTAATATATATTATAGATCCTAAAACTATTATAAAGGTTATTTAATATAGTTTTTATTTTTAGTAACTATATACTAATATATACTAGTGAATATAACTTATATTTATATTATAATTTTTGCCTAGCACTATATAATATATATTAGTGCTTATACTAAAAATAGATTTCTTAAAATTAATATAGAAAAGCAGGGCTATTTCCTAAAAAGGAAATAAAATATTAGTAAGTTAATAAAAAAAAGCTTTATCTAAACCTTATTTTACTTTATTTTTATATAGCTTATATAAGCCTTGATAATTACTAATACTTTTTTACTACACTATAAAGATTTTAACACTTATATAGAATCCTTGTAGTTTTTTTAGAACTCTAAGGAGGATTAATAGGAAAGGTATTTAAGTCTTTTATATACTTTTATTTTAACCCCTTAGGCATTAGTTACTAGGTGCTTAAGTGCCTTAGGACTTAGATATCTACCTTATAAGTGCTATAGCTATATATTATTTATTTAAGTGTCTTTTTTATAATAAGAGAGTTACTTATATCTTATAGTATATAAAGGTACTACTATATTAATATTAATAATAGTAATATTACTTACTAGTATTTATATAGAAGAAAAGTAATTAAAAAAAGGCTTATATTTAAAAGAAAGTAATATTAGCCTTTTAAATAAGTTACTTAACTATAAAGCTATCTAAATAACTACTATATTAGAGTATATAATCTAAGCTTAAGTACTAAATACTTATCCTTTAAAGAAAAGCTTTTAAAATAACGTTTATATAAAAGTTCTTTATAAATACTACTTTCTTAAGTATAAAGTTAATATATAACCTAGTATAGGTTTTTAAGGTATTCTTTATTACCTAAGTGCCTATTATTACTATAAAGTATAAGGTAGTACTAAAGTTAACTTATTTTTTATTATCTTTAGGTATCTAAATTAAGCTAGGTTTAACAAAAGTAATATTATTTACTAAGTGTATAGCACTATAGTTATCTAGTATAGTACTATATAAGAGAATATATAGCCTAGTATATAATATAGTAAATACTTTATAAAATTATACTTCTAAGGCTTTATTACTTAAGTCTAACTTAAGTAAAATAAAGTTAATAATATAGGTAATAACCTTATAAAAAGGTTATCCCCTTTGTTTTTTTTTATTAAATAACTAAGCTAAGTTTATATTCTTAGGTGTTCTCCTTATTTTAGATAAAGGTATAGCTTAAATTTACTTTCTTTAGATAAGGTTAGCTTAGAGGTCTATATTCTTAGTGTTATTAATTTAAAAGCAAATAGATTAAGTAAGCTTAAGGGTTATATTAGTTAGCCTTAGTATTAACCTAGTTAAAGCTTACTTTATATAAGTATATTTAAGTAAGTCTTAGCTATATATATAACTATATATATATATAATATATTAATTATTTTTAAAGTAGTATAATTTACTTTTCTTTAATAATATAAGTTAGCTTACTAAGGTTATAAATACCTTATAGGCCTTCTTATATAATCTTATTATAAAAAAGTCTTCTTATAAAATACTACTTAAAATTATAGTATAGTAGTTAAGGTCCTTAATAAGTATATTATTTACCTTATTTTATATAATCTCTAAGAGCTCCTTAGTTACCTAGGATAAGGTAATATAGTAAAAGACTACTCTTAAAAAAGTATATATAGTAAAAGTTCCTTAGACCTCTAGTATACTTATAATTATTATATAAAGATATTAATTTTACTAGTTAGTTAGCTAGGTATTTAAATTAATACTAAAAAAAGCTATATTTAAGATAATAAAATACTCTTTATAAATAAGTATTTAGCTAGTAAAATTACTAAAAGTATATTAGTGCTTAAGAATCTATAGTATAAAGTAAAATAATATCTTATACTATTTAAGTACCTTTATTTAAGCTAGAATTAAGAAGTTATTAACTATAGTGTCTTTAACCTAGGTATTAATAGTATTAAATACCTTCTTTTTTTACTTTCTTTTAGCCTTAGAGGCTATAAAGTTTAAGATATATATCTAGTAAGTAATCTTAGTATTTAGGTTACTTATTATTAAAAAAGGTTCTTAATTATTCTTACTACTTTACTTTAGATTTTTATTATTAATAAACTTATTAATTATAAAGACCTTATATATATTAGGTATTTTATTTAAATAGGCTTCTTTATTACTTATAGTAGTTAGCTTATCTAGGTCTATAAACTTCTAAACGTATTTTAATTAAGCTTTAAGTTAAAAAGTAAAGTACTATAAAGGCTAGTTACTTTATAACCTAAGCTTCCTTATAGTACTAATTATTATAGATAATTTAAGAGATATTATAAGAAAAAATATTTAAGATAGTTTATTTAAAAGAGATAGTTCTTAGACTATATATACTAGTAGTAATAGAATTAAGGGTATAGTATAAGCTAGGCTTATAACGATTATAATATACTTATTTAGTTATAAAATATTATAAGAAAATAGCTTAATTATTTATATTCTAAACTATCTATTAAGGCTTATAGATATATATATTAATAAAGTAGATTAAGGTAGTAGATCTACATTAATAGATGTTCTAGCACTAGTTAGATTTACCTAAAAGGCTATATAATACTATAAAGGTATTATAATATATAATTATAGAATATATTAGAAAATATTCTTTCTAGTTCTCCTATATTATATATTAAAGGTATATATATATATATAACTATTCTAGTTAGTTTAAGAAGCTAGCTAGTATTAAAGTACCTTACAAAAGTAGAGGCACCCCTAAGATAGAAGTACTTTAGATACTACTAAATACTTTAGCACGTTAATAGCTATGCTAATATAGTACTAAATTACTCTATTATATATAGTTATCTGCTAGGCTACTAGCCTATAAGTTCTATATCCTTTTAGAGTGCTATTACTATAACTATAGACTTTTAATATTATAACTATATCCTACTATAATTACAGCTATAACCCTATACAACTAGAAAAATACATTCCTTATATAAAATCTAGCTAACCAATACCCTAAGTACTAACCCTAATTGTTATCTTTAGTCAGCGGTTAGGGTTAGTGGTTAGAATTAGTGGTTAGGGTCAGCGGTTAGGGTGCAGGTTAGCTAAATTTTGCGTTAGGAATATGTTCTAAGTATCGGTGGGTGAGTTAATCTAGACTACGGTCGCAATGATGAAACTACATAGTTGTAATAACTGCACTCATCCTTTTGTATATATGCCCTAGTAGTTATGTGCAGATCATACAGGCTCAGCCACAATACTGACTCGCTTAGTTATATGTAGTCAGGTTTTAGTCTAGAAGTCCCATATCCTTAATAGATGTGCCCCAGTGGTTATGTGGCATCATATAGCCACAGCCACAATACAGCCACTATTAGGGTAATTTTCTCTAATTTTACTAAGTTCAGGGGAGTTCTAATTTATTGACTGATAAATAAGAATAGTGATTATGTACCTTGAAAACTAATATAACTGAGAATCAGTGGGAAATTTATAAACTAACCTATAATGGTGAAAATACTGTGATGTATAGAAAGAGCTCAATTTGCAAGAATTCAGCACATTGTTTTAATCGTATAATATAATAAAATACCTGAATCAACTTTGCTTATCGTACATTTCTTTACATATGCTGCCAGCTACTACGGATTGTAATTTATAATGCGTCGAAATTTAATACTTCTTCTGCTTTCCTTGCTATGGATTACGGTCACTCATGAGAGGCAATTGCGTCCTGCGCCCGGCAAGCCCTCTCTACCTCAAGCAGCGCGGGGTAAAGGCCCATATTGCAGCCGGACAACCTGTGGTGCTGGAAAGAAGCCGGGTGTATGCCGCCGCCAGCTGAGTCCAAGGGTACTCGACGCGCCCAAACCGTCATCACACCCAGCCGACGGCTATTGGTATAGCCCAAGCAACTATGGCAATAACGTTGATAAGTTTGTCCGCGGCGAGGTAGCTAAGCTGATCAACACACCCAATGGGATTGTCAGAATCGACAGAGAAGATGTTTCCTCCCAGATCGCCCGCTTCAAGGATAAACCAACGTCGCTCGCAATGCTTGGGTTTTGCGGATGTATTGGTCTTATCATCATGTCGAGACAGGGAGTTTGGATGGCTCATTTGTACGAGAAGGAGGTCATTATGTCCGAGGAAAACTTTTACAAGGGTGTCGCTCTCCTTCTTCATGGTGGTACTGAAGATATGTATTACGGGCTGTGGGATCTGAATGATGACATCTTCGCTCGAAACCAAGAACCAGTGGCTATTCTTTTTGGCCCTGGGCCGACAAAGACTAGTTTCGACTACAAATCCCAGATGGACACAATAGACGTAACGGTCAGGAGAAGTAAGCTGTCAATCCAACACTGACATTATTAGCTTGTATTGACAACACTCATCACAGCACTCGGTGTAGCTCCTACATGGGTTTCGTATGTGGCGGAGGATGATGGTTCGCCGGAATACAGAGCCGACTTCAATTGTTTGCGTTCCAGAGGTAAGGTGCTTGTGCAGTACCAGCCGTCTAACCCGGGATGGTTCGGGCGTTCCAATGCCGAAGCCAGGATATGGATCGAAGGGAACCGTTGGACACACAAAACAGCATGGTCACCTCAGAGTGATCAAATACGCAATTAGGTAGAAGCAGCATGGTATGACTCTTTTGTTTCGAAGCCTTGGTTCTTGTAGTAATCTCTATTAAATTAAAGAACACCACCTGGGGTGACGGATTAGATAGGATATAAGTGAGCATTAAGTCAAAGCACCCACTTTCCGATCACCCCCACATTGCAATCATGCATATCCACCTTATATCTACCCCTAGCCACCACTAACCACTATATATATACTATTACTACTTTTATAGTTCTTATCTAAATAACTTTATTTTTTTAGTATTTATTCTTTATTGCCCTATAGTTAGATATACTAAGTTAGAGATTACCTAGGCAACAGATGCTGTTACTACTAGCAGCAGTATACGCTAAGCATCTAAGACCTATGGTATCCTATTTACTACCCTCTAGAACTGTCTATCTGGCACCTAAAAGAGGGCTAATGCCTTTAAGGACCTCTAGTAACTACTAGCTACCTAGGAGGCTAGCCTAGCTAGTTAGGTAACTACCTAGGCTAACCTTAGGCTGCTACTAACCTATTAATAACTAAGGGACTTTACTTATTATATCCTTTATACTATAGGGGATACCTAACCTCTAGGCAAAAGGTAGGTAGATAGCTTTATTTAAAGGAACCTATCTATTAAGGTCTAGAGAAGTTAATCTATTAATTTAAGGCGTATTAATAAGGTATTTACTAAGGTTATTAGGGACTAGTTTAAATATCTTACTATACTTTATATCTAGGCTATTAAACTAGCTAATAGATATAATATAGATAAGACTAGTATCCTTAAGGGCAAAGGTAATAATAGGCTAGTGCTAGGCAAGGCTATAATAAAGGCAGTAAGAAAAAAGCAGCCTAGATTATAAGCCTAGGTATCTATTATTAAGTGTATATCTACTAAAGGTATTCCTATTTATCCTTTAGTTATATATAAGGGTAAAATAGTCTAGTAGTAGTAGTTCTCTTTTAATTTTGCCCTATATAATAGATAAAAGTTTATAGTAATAAAGAATAAATAGACTACTAATAATACTACTATTAAATAGTTATAAAAGGTCTTTTTCCCTTAGACTAAGCCTTTTTAACCTAATTAGGCTAAACTACTTATCTTAGATAAGTATAAGAGCTATATAATAATAGATTTTATATAGATATACTATACTAATAACGTCTATCTATTATTCTTACTACTATATACTTCTTATATTCTTTAGCTACTTAACTAGTTAGTCTTTAGCCTTATTAAGGCAGTATATTAGAAGAAGCTTAGATATCTTAGTTAGTAGATTAACTTTACTATTATAGGCAAAAGGAACTTCTTTTTCTACTATTAAAAGGCTTACCTAGCTAGTCTAACTATTAGTAATATTAAGAGTAGCTAGAAATACACTAGGTTATAGCCTATTAGTACTATAAAGCTACTTATAAATAGGCTACTAGTTTAAAAGGTAATATTATTATTAATAACACTATTAATACTACTTAAAGCAGCTACTAGAGATACCTATATAGCCTAGGATGCCTATAATATAGAAGGATAAGCATTAGCCTTATCTATAGTAAAGTAGTCTATACTAAAGAAGATAAAGGACCTTAGGGACTAACTATAGCTCTTTAGCTAACTAGAATAAAATATTACTATATAACGCTAACTATTTAGAAAAGTTAAAAAAGGCTTCTAAGAAAAGTCCTATAAGCTAGCTATTGCCTAGTAAAAAATTAGCCTTCTAGAAGCCTAGGTTACTAACAGTATATCTAGGAAACAGAAGGCTATTTATATAGATACTAATATAAAGTTTACAATAATTAAAGAGGTGCAGTAAGCCTAGATAGAGGTAGGCAAGGTTAAAAGTGATATAGATAAATCTAGTGCATCTGAATTACCTAGTGAGGCCAAAAGTTGCATTATTATAGCATCTAGATGATGTTAGTAGTTAATTAAATAAGGTGGTAGTTATTATGATGGTAATGTTTTTAGGTGATCATAATGTGGGGGTAATTAGAAAGTGGGTGCTTTGACTTATAACTTACACCAGTGACTTCAGTGATTGTCTCAACCCCAAGGGTAGGAACACAAAATAAGCTAGCTCTTAATATTATCTTTATAGAAGTCCTCGATAGATTATTATGCTACTTAAGTGAGGTCCTGAAGTGCTACATGCTAACGCTGTTGGCGTCTAATCTGGGTATATATTAGTTCAACAAATGCACTCTCACCGCCATTCAGCAACCTACCTCGTTGTGAAGAAAGCACACTGTCTAAGATGTATGCAACGCCGCTATAGATGAGCATGTCTTGCTTCAGGACTTGCGCATTGTTGATAAAAAGGCATCCCGTGGAGTCATAACTTAACTTGATATTCAGACCACCCAGTGAGGTAACCTCTTTGCCTGCTGCAAACGCTATGTGATATAAAACTTGGTTTTGAATAGTGTGGTTTTTGATAGTAACCCTAGGTCCTCTAAAGCGAGAGATTCAAGCTGTGATCTTTCTCTATCCATTGCCTTGTTACTTGGTATGAGAATAGTAGTGTCTCTGAGTGATTCTAGTAATTTATTTATCTGTGCTCTTTGTGTGAGGCTCCAGAACGTATTGAGATTTCTAAGGTGGGCTGTTTCTGAGAGATTGTGTGGAAGGACCAGGTTCTCGCCAATAGTATGTAAAACACTAGAATGATAATGTATGTCTGCTTTGATGATGGGCAGAACCTTCTCGAGTCCGCATTCCACCCTGAAGGGCATTTGGCCATCAGAGGCCAACAGTTTGACGGCAGGACCATCCGTCATATTCATCAAAGTCGGTGGTCAGAGAACAGAGTAAACAAGCTGGGTCTTAAAACCCAGCAAAGGGATGGTTGATTCGCAAGCACCCTGGAGAAGGTGGTATTCCATGATCCCTCGAGCAACTTGTGGATCAATCAAGCTGAGGTTCATGCCCCAATTGGCCAGATAATCGAAAGCCCCTCGTTCATGGCCAACATTGTCGAATTCCAGGTCGCCTCAAAAGCAGTCATCAGGTCAAGTTCTTCCAAGAGGTCGTGGAGCGTGGTGAGCGATCCATGGCTGGCCAGGACATGTTTCAACGAGTGTCCTGTCGAAAGACAGGGCAGAATAGCGAGGGCTACAAAGGCTTCAAGATACATTTTGTGGCTCAGAACCCAAGAAGCACTCGTTGTGTTCATGCAAGACATCAGACAGCTTGCAGCTAGGTGTTCACTAGAAATAAACAAGCTAAGGCCGTCAGTGTCGTCCCATTAACGTACAGGCAATTTACTTTGAGTTGCAGGTGGCGTAGGTTTGTTTGGCAGAGAAATCAAGGATTGCCGGAGCGCACTGATCGGTATTTGATTGCCGTCTCATCCAGTTCTAGGTCCGCGGAGTGTCTTGTAACATGCTCTAAGCCACGCCGACTATTACTATTATTCCCTCGAATGAGCGTTGAGACGCGCAGCGACTTCTCCCAACCAGATGATCCAAGCTTGCTAGATTACAGTCTCCAGTCTCGCTTCTTGGACGAATAGACAATACAACTCATGATCCCTCCCCTCTGGTGCGTCTTGCACATATGGTCCCTTGCGCGGTGCCGTTGGCCGGCAGTCTTCCAACCAGACAACACAATACAGCTCTCACCAGACCGGCAGCCTATAGGATTCGAGTTCCACATCACCTCTGGCAAGGTAGATGTTTTCGGTGCAGGCACCATAGAGGCCATTCTTATCAATGGCAACTTCGTAGGGCCAACTTTACGTCCTTGTGAGGACGATGAGGTCGAGGTTCTCGTACGAAATTATCTGCAACAAGATACCACCATGCATTTTCATGGTATCGAGCAACGGACGACGCTCTGGAGCGACGGAGTCCCGGGTCTTACTCAACGCCGGATCCACGCCGGCGCTTCTTATCTATACAGGTGGGCAGCAGATAATGCTGGCAGCTTCTCTTACCACGCCCACTCCCAAGGCCAGCTGATGGATAGTCTCTACGGCACAATTATCGTCGACGCGTCTCCTGAAGCTGAGCGGCCGTTTAAACTCATTAGTCGCGATGCTGCCGAGGAACAAAACATGCTTGTGGCCGAGTCGTTGAGTCAACCACTTCTCATGGCTGACTGGAGCCACTACAAGTTCGACGACTTTTATTGTATAGAAATGGTGGCGAATTACGACCTTGCTTGTACAGATGCCATTATTGTTAAGGGCGTTAGATCCTAGTACGGCTTAGACCCCGTCACGCTGGATAACATAATGAACTCTACTATCCTCTAGATGCTGAGGCACCTCGGAGAGGACCATGTAATAGCCAAGGGATACGCCCCACCAATTCAAGCTCTGCAGGGGGACTATGATGTAGATTTCAGGAAGCTGCTGCCCCATGCGGTGAGATAGATAGTGTGTAGGTAGACAAAACCCAAGCGGCAATTTCACCTTTTCCGTCAATAAGAAACTAGGCTAGGCGGCGCTCACGTTCGTCAACGTCGGCGGTCTTTACCCGTTGCAGGTTTCTGTTAACAACCACGAACTGCACGTCTTCGTCGTAGATAGGCAATACATCCACACGGTGGTAACCAATCAGGTCTACGTTGGCAACAGAAACCGCGTCTTGGTAATGATCAAGCTTGACCAAGAGCCAGCCCGGTACAAAGTCCAGATAGCCAACTACCTCCTCAATCAGATCCTTGGGGACTTCGCTGAGATGACTTATGGTGATGCCGGCTCCGCACCGCGACACCAAATCCCCAAGCTGAACTACGCCAGGCAGCCTCTAATCGACGGAATCCGCTCATTCAAACCAGAACAGGGCAAGCCTTATCCTGAACGACAACCAGCACGGGAATCTGATCAAACAGTCAAGGTGGTACTGAGAAAACCCGGTTGCCCTCAGGGCGCGTATGAGTGGAGTCTCTCTAGTCACAAGTTATACAACATAACAGCAGAAGAACAGGACCCGCCAATACTCTTCCAACGGCCTAGGAATGTGCTAGACAGCAAGCTCATTGTTTTCCTTGAAGTTGGCGACTAGGTTAACTTGATTTTGGAGACTAAGGGTCCGCTTGCCTAGAGCCATCCGGTTCATAAGCACAGGAATAAGGTATTTTTCCTTGGGTCTAGGAACGGGAGGTTTCCCTGGACCAGTGTGGCGTAAGCTGAGCGAAGCCTCCCAGCGGGCTCCTTCAACTGTAAGAACCCAGCTTATCTTGATATGTTCACTACACTAGATATTGCGGGTGACGCACCAGCAGTATAGGCCATAGTAAGATACAAGGTAGAAAATCCAAGAGCATGGCTTCTGTACTGCCATGTACAGACCTATTAGGCTAGGGGGATGGGTATAGTCTTGATGGATAGTGCAGATCACTTTCCTAAGGTACCGCTGGAATACCGGAAATCGAACGGCTTCAAGCTCACATAGAAGTCACCAAAGATCCAGGAGAGCATGATCCATATTCCAACACAATTAGATCCCTTCTCCTGTACAGCTGCATAAAGCTTTATAGGCTCACTCTCAACTATTTATTATCGTCTTATCATGTAATAGCTATTCTCAGAAATCGCGGTGTGCTGCTCTAGTAGCAAAGCCCTAGTGTTGGGCTACTACAACACACTATTAACCAAGACTTATCACAATAGCCTTGTATGGGTTCGTTGATATCTCACTACTTCTGATTTTAAACAGTTTTTCCTATACATAAACATTTGATTTCTTGGCTTAGGTCCTGAATTCCACAGTAGGCCTCCATCAATAGGCGTATTAGAAACCCTCTGCAAAATCAGATCCTCCTATTCCTTACTTACTAAGAGCGGAATACTAAGAGTCTTGTTCCCCTCTCCATCCCTGTTAGTCTTGTACTTGCTACCAAAGATAGTGGAGTGTATGATTAGGAACGTTGTGAAAATGGGAGGCTACCTCTCGCCTACTCCCTCAAACATGTGCAACCTGTCCTGAAGTTTAGTTTCAGGATCAACGTGGGACACAGACCATTTCACGCCAGGTTTCTCCTCCGCAATCCAAAGAATCTCTTTCTACGAGGTGACAGAATCATGAATAAATATTAGTCTGCTCTTTATTTCCTTTGATTTACTAAGGACTAAGGCTACTGCTTTACTCATGGTGTATCCCTGCATCATACCAACCTTATGGCTGTTCTTATTGCTAAAGTAAAGCGTAGTTTAGTCTTAGAAATTGTATACATATGACCCATTCAGCACACAACTAACAATTAGACCTGTTTAGATCACTGTCCATTTGATCCCTGCGTTTTCAGCCTTTATGCAGGTATTTACAGATGGCAACAGCATCTCTGTAGAACGGCAGATTAGTAAGCTCAGGGCTCACAGACAGCGCGGTGAAGTCACTAGGGATGAAGTGCTTGACAGTGTCTGCAGCGCTAGCGGCATTAATCAGCTTGTATTGGTGCGGCTAGCCACCTAATGAGAGGGTTGAGACGACAGCGTCTTGACCCTCTAACGCCTCTGTGAGACTTTTTGTTGACTTGTAATCCACGACCTTGACGTTGGCTTTATTTATGGGTTTAGATTAAGAGAGAACTATGACTTCAAAGCTAGCGTTAACTAGCTTATTGTAGACGTAGCCTCTAATGTATCCTTTCTACCTACAATGTCAGCATCTCTAAGAAGAGTCGTGGGGTTCTAATCCTCACCCCCACAATCATAACTTTGTGAATTTTGGTCGAAGTCAGCTGCGCCATCTTAACTGGCAATGGTTTTACCACTTTGGGAGGTTGAGTAATCTAGACAGACTTTTTACTTGTCCTATTCCTAATCTGCTCTCCAGTTGCACTATAGGGATGTTGATTAAGCTAATATATACCTAGTAAGTTAACGCACCCACTTTTCAGTACCCCCTATATTTCACTATACTAAAAATAAAGCTATTACTACTACTACTTTATTAATTAACTATTAACTAGGTATTACTACTATTACTATATAGCTTTCTACCTTACTAAGGTAATTAGAGGCATGAGATTTATCTATATTATCTATAACTTTACTAACCTTAACTTAGGCCTACTATATATTACTAATTATTATAAACCTTATATTTAGATTAATATAAATAGTCTTTTCTTTCTTTATAGTATTATTATTAACTTAAGCCTAAAGAAGCTTTATTTTATACTAAGTAAATACTAATAAATAAAACTACTTTAAAAAGCCTTTTTTAACTTTTTTAAATAGCTAGGATTATATAGTAATATTTTATTTTAGTTAACTAAATAGTTATAGTTAATCTCTAAGGTTCTTTATTTTCTTAAGTATTAACTATTTAACTATAGATACAGTAGATACTTAATCCTCTATATCCTAAGTATTATAGATATTATAAGTACTACTCTTAGCCTTCTTATTAACTAAGGTTAATAATAGTAATACTAACAATACTACTAATATATTAGGTAATAGTAAAGAGCTTATAAATAGATTTATAATAGTAATAGGCTATAACTTAATATATTTCTAGCTACTCTTAATATTCTATTCTATTAACTTAGCCTTATAAGCCTTTTAATAATAAGTATTATAACCTAATAAGTTATAGGTAATATTACTCTACTAGACAAGATACCTAGTAGGTAGTATAGTATTTATATAAAATTAACAATAGGCTAGACTAAGATAACTCCTTAAGTTAAGAAGAACTATAGTGTAAGTTATATAATAATAAAAAGGGGGATTAATATATAGGCATAAGGAATTAATACATAGGCATAAGTCTTATATAGGCATAAGATGCACACTCTCTAATTAGTCTAAAAAACAAATATTAGTGTAACTAAATTCTACTAGACCTACACAAGGTAGCCCTCCCTTTCCTATCCCTCTTTATAATATCCCTCTTTATAATAAGGTTAATTTATTTAACCTTAGGTTTATCTATAGTATTTACTTACTATAGCTTTATAATATATTCTATAGTATAAAATATAACTATTTTACCTTCCTACTATAGGTTATATCTTAAAAAGTAACTAGTAATTAATTATAACTTACTACTATTATCTAGCTACCTACTATTATCTTCCTCCTCTAAAAGTAGTTATCTTAGCGTTAACTAGTTCTATAAAGCTAGTAATCCTAAGGGACAGTATAACCTTATAGCTAAGCTCTTATTAAGCTTACTATAAGATATATAACCTCTTTTATACTATAAACTATATTACCTTAGTATAAAGCTAACACTCTACCTTACTTACTATTTCCCTAAAGGGATAATAAAAACTTAGTAGACTATTCTTTTTTAACTTTCTCTAGAGTATAACCTTTTATCTCCTTATAAGTAGTCTTAATAACCTCTTTATCTTACTATATAGTAGTTTAATAGTACTTTTAACCTTATTTAATAAGTTATTAAGACTAATTAGTAGCTAATAATAGTACTTCTTTAATAATAAAAGTATATCTATTAATAGTAAGAATAATAAGGTCTTTAAGCTAATCTACTACCTTATTTACTACCTTAATAATAGCTTTCTCCTTAAAGTAAAGCCTTTTTCTAAACTATAGCCTTTTACTATACCTAAAGCAATAGATCCTCTTCTCCTCCTATAAGTAAAATCCTAAATCTACTAATTCCTAGTAATCTAGAATAAACCTTTAATGCCCTTTTTAATTAAGTTAATACCTTTATAAAGGCTAATAGATTTAGTATTATAAAGTAGTATAAATATTAGTACTATAGCTAGGTTATATAATACACTATCTAATATAATTAGTTTAGTAAGCCTAGGCCTATAGAGGGTACTAGTATTTAATAGCGTAAGTCCTAAAAGAATACCTATAAATAGTAAGTAATTATAGAAGCTCTTTAAGAAAAAGAATAGCTATTATATTATTATTTAGACTCTTAGTATAGTTAGTATAACTATAGTCTTAGCCTTAAGGCATCTATATATCTTTCTTATTATAAGGTAACCTAGCCTATAATAAACACTATTAATATAATAAGCTAATAAGTTAGTATTTAAGTATAGAATATATATACTATTATTTAAGAGTAGTTCTTAGATTTCTTATTTACTTAGTAAGATATCTATAACACTAGAGCTTATATAAACTAAGAGAAGCTAAATAAGTATTTACTTACTATAGCTTTACTTAAGCTATTTAATAAGTAAAATATCTTATATATAGTAAAGTAGGCAAAGGATAAGCTAGACTAACTTATTAGCCTTATCTAGACTTTTCTTTACTGTCTCTAAATATAAAAGTAATTCTCTAAAGTAATTAGTTTTAATAACACCTATAACACTAATTACTTTAAACTTCTACTCTTCTAGGCTACTAGATAGACCTACCTTAGGTCTATTTATAATACTATATTTAGCCTTATTAATAATAAGAGGCTAAAGGGTTTCTAGTTTCTCTTAGTAAGTATCTACTAACTTATAGACTAATACTTAGTCTATTACTTTACTATTATTATTATAGACTATAATAAATAAATAAAGGCTATACTAAATAAGTAGTTCCTTAGTATCTAGTAATAACTTTATATTTACTATATTAATTTTAATATTATACTTAAGGCTAAGTAAAAGTAGCTTAAGGACTATACCTATAGTAGTAATAGTAGTAGGTCTAATAATAAGGCCTATTAGCTAATAATATAAGTAATAGCCTAGCTTAGTAATAAGGACTAGGCCTATATTACTATACTATTAGATAAGCCTTCCCCTTATATATATTATAAGGTCTTAATAATATAAAAGCTTATTATTTTTACTAAGACTAAGTATACCTTTAAAGAAGCTTAGACTAAGCTCTATAAAGAGTTTATTAACTAACGCCTAATCCTCTAGTACCTATATATAATATACCTACCTTTAAGAGTATAGTAGGCTTACTACTTTATCTAAAAATACTAGAACTTTAGTGTTTATATTACCTTTAGTATAGAATTAAGTAATAATAATATTAAAGGTTATTTCTTAAATAGTCTTAGTTACCTATATTAACTTATTAATATTATATAAAATATAATTAGTAACTATAAGCTATACTTTAGGTAAATATATATAAAGAATAAAGTCCTTTAATACTAGAAGTATATAGGTCTTTACCTTAAGCTCTTTAGTAAACTTTATATACTACTTTTCTTAAAGTGTTTAGTGTTAATTAAAAATAATACTAGCTAGTAAAAAAGTAATACCTTTTAGTAAAAGACTATTCCTAGACCTTATTAAAGAATATAGTCTAGACTATACTATTTTAACTAAGCTTAGTATTTTACACTACTATAAGATCTTTACTAAGATACTTAATTTAGTAGCTTTTAGTAAGTAAAAGGTATACCTCTAGTAGTATCTTTAAGAGATATCTTCTTTTAATTTATACTACTAAATCTTTAATCTAAAGATTATAGTATCCTTTATAGTAGGCTAAAGAATATAGTATAGCTTATCCTATTATAACTATCTTTACTAAGAGAAGGCTACTTAACTAGCTAAACCTATACCTCTAGTAAAAGCTAAAGTATAAAGAGTAAAAAGTAAAGTTACTTACCTAGAAGTAGAAATAAGTTAATATTAGCTAGGTCTATATAAGAGAAAAGTTAACTAAGTTAAAGCTAGATTTTAACCTTATCTTAATAATAAATAAGAAGCTAGTCTAGTGTTCTTAGTAATAGAAGAATAATAAAGAATTATATAAATAAATAGCTACTTTAGCCTAGTGTTTAGAGGATATAAAGTTAGTAAGAAATAGTTAGTAGTAATAATAAATCCTTATAGCTATATTATAAGAAAGTAGCTAAGTAGTAAGTATTTTAAATATAAAAAAGGTTACTTTTCTTAGATTAAATAAGAAATAGGTATAGTAAAAGGGCTAACCTTTATAGCTATAGGAAGTAGGCCTAGCAAAAGAGGTAACCTTTATAGCTATAGGAAGTAGGCCTAGCAAGAGGGGTAACCTTTATAGCTATAGGAAGTAGGCTTAATAAGGGGGCTCTTTTTATAGCTATAGGAAGTAGGCCTAGTAAAAGGGGTAACCTTTATAGCTATAGGAAGTAGGCTTAATAAGGGGGCTGTTTTTATAGCTATAAAGATAGTGCTTCTTATAGAGGCTATTTCTTATAGCTATAAAAAGAACCCCCTTATAGAGCCTATTTCCTATGGCTGTATAGGTTAATTAGTTAATAGTAGAAAATAATAGTAGAATAGTAGTGTTAGTGTAATTGCCTTTACTGCCTTTATAGGGATATACTTTTTTTTTAAACTAATTAGAGGAATAGAAACCTTATGCCTATATAAGACTTATGCCTATATATTAATTCCTTATGCCTATATATTAATTCCTATAAAAAGAACTAATAAATTATAAGTAGTCTAAGGTAAAGGACTATTATTACTAAAGATAGTTCTAAGTAAAGGACTAATATTTAAATATTAGTCCTAGATATACTAATAGAATTAAGACTTATATATAGAATAAACTTAAATATTATTAGTATTATAGGCTAGTTAACTAGAGGCAGTAAATAGTATATATTACTATTAATATAAAAGAGGTATAAAGCTTAATAGTAAAGAAGTTTAAAGTTAGTAGTTACTATAGATATTTATAGAAGTATAAGTAAGTAAGCTACTAAGGTTAGTTATATAACCTTAGATTAGCTCTACCTTCTACTAGTAATTAATATTTTAACACTAGTAACTTTCTTATATAAAGAGAAATAGCTAAATAATCT